TACATAACTGAATTTTTTTAACTCGGACTTAATGTTCGACTTTGTCATCTTCGGGTTGTCTTGGAGTGCACATGTTCTGTACATATGACTGCTGACTCATTGGTATTCATATCGCTCCCTGTTCCTTAAGTGCGTCTGTCATTTCTGTGCAGTACATGAAAAAACACATTTTTTCTAAAGTGTGCAGGACCTTCAGTCATGAAGAACGTTCATCATCATGGTGATGATGGTTTGGTTTTGCGTGAAATAGAGCCAGAGCAATAATTTGGCCCATTATAGCTCATATTGGCATCAGTGTGTCTGTTGTTTGACGAGTAACAAATTGCAGTGCAGAAATACCAAACAGGGCCGTCGTTAGTTTGTCAACCAAAGAGCAGCGACAGAAATATGATCTGCTTTCAAGTCCTTGTTCAAATATAGAAATCAAATAAAGTAAGGGATACCTATTGACTTTCCTTCTTTGTTTATGCGTGTATGTTTAAGATTTAAATTATTGTCCGATAGATTTATATTCTAAACTATCAAATATGAAATACTTATCTATGGAGAAATCTTTATTGTGCATTAATGTTTCCCTTTTTAGTCGGTGCATGTAAAAATGATCAACTGTACGAACATCAGAAGCCACAGAACAAATATTATAGCTGTGATATCATCAAGAGAAAACGACTTGGAGAGTTGGAAACATTGCCTTTTAAAAAAAAAAAAAATATATATATATATATATATATATATATATAGTAGTTCGGCTTCGAAACCCACATGAGTTCTCCTCCACAGCGGTGCCAGTAATCCTGAATCCAAACTGTTCTCACATCCTCAGATAGTGTTTGATTCCACATTCTGTTACAGTCCGACTCTCGTGTGTAAAGTCGAGGATGTACTTTTGTGAACATTTTCACGTTTGCAGATTTGAATGTAACGGATCCAAAGAAACACTCAAGTCACATCCATGTTAGACCAGACGCACCCATACAAAGGAATAGTGCCCTTTGCAATATTGATTTTAATCAATGCACCAGCTTTTCCACCTGAGCCAAGCATAAGAGAATATTGTAGAACTTTTAGATTTTTATAACTCTCTCAAATTGCATCAAAATAGGTGGCTGGAAAGGCAGCTATAGCAGCAGTCGTACTAAGGGATCAATAGGGACACTGTTGTTATTGATATTATTGTGAGTAGTTGCTTCGTTTACTATAAAGAATGCATTTGAATAAAACCAGAAGTAAAAGACTGAACGTGACTACAGTTTGATACAGTAATCAGCAGTAACACAGTCACAGTGGCAGTATTTCAGGACAAATGTGATCCAAGGCACATGCATTCTGTATGGCGTGGGTGAAGCGTGTTTGAATCTTCACTTGTGAAAGGCGAGGGTTGTCATGTAACCATCACTTGAAGGAGCAAAAGAAAGAAGGAGCCGATATGCAGATATAAGATAGGCAGAGCGAAAGAGTTCCCAGTATGTGTAGAACACACTTTTATCTGCAAACGGACAGATGGTCCCAAACAGCTAGAGGTCTCGCCGTGTTCCACAGAGACATTGTTTTATCATATTTATCTTGAACTATTTTAGGAGAAGGAAATTGATACCCTCAATTGCGTGTCTGCGTTGAGGCTGGCGGATTGTGAAACTATTGTTCAGAGACGAGATACGTGGAAGTGGGGGGAGATTAGCGAACGCCTCGGTGTTGACTGGGAATCATTCCGTGGTCATAGTGCGAGTGCTGGAACGGAAACAGACGGACGCTTCTGTGTGAATGAGGAGCAGCACAAAGTTGAGGGAAAATATATCCAAGGTCTTATATGAGTCTGAAAAGATGCAGAACTTCTCCCTCTTTAGGGGTTTTCCCCAAGCTTGCTTTACCAAACAATATATATATAACCCCCCCCCCCCTCCCACCCTTGTGGTTTGAAATGCAAAGTTAACAGTTTTACTCAGCCCCCTAAGGCTTGTATAGTCTCTCCTAATCTTTTTTAATGTGTCAAAAGGCTTTCTTGAGAGCCTCTGTGAAATTTCACACTTAAGTTGTTTGCAAAGTCAGTCTGCATTACAGTGTGGGGTGAGGGTTCACTTTCCTGAAGGCGTCGGGGGAAACTTTTAAAAAACTGTGCTGAGCTTGTGTATATGGGGGGGGGGGGGGGGCACAGTATGATGTCGTATGTAAGGTCGGACTTGTGGATTTCAAAGCTGTGTCGGATCATACAAAAGGACCATTTAGAATTTATAATCTGTAATAATTCAATTGTATCTTTTATCGTCCCTCAGTGGAATTTTACTGCGCTGATTATTATCGTTTTTACAAAATTGGCACTGCAAATTGTAAAACTATCAAGATGAGTTATTTATTAGTAAAATTTCAGTTTACTTCATTGAACTGCAATTTGATGATTTAATATTTCATCTTTCATAATGGGCATTTTCCGCACTGTGCTATATATTATGGAGACGCATATGGAGGTTTCTTGTTACGACGTACCAAGTTATGACAAGAAACTGTTCTTAATTTAATGAGATACATTAATGTAACGATGATTGTGTTTTATAAGGAGATTCAACAAAAGAAAACGATTTACAACTGAAGGAAAAGTAAAAATTGCGATATTTGTTTTGTAGTAATAACCAGAAAATGTGTCCTAATGACATGAAAAATATCTCGTTATATGATGAAATAAAAAACAATAAAATAAATCGCCTAATAACAAGAAACTGAGCAAATATTCTACTCTGTCTCAAAAGGTTTATTGTTTTAATGACATACATTAATGTAATGACGATTATGTAATAGCGAGAAGGTGATATAACAAATGATGTGGATTTATATCAAAAAAAGTTTCTTTTAAAAATTGATTATGTAGTAATAACAAGAAAATAGGTCCTAATAAAAGAAAGAATATCTTGTTATATATGAGGGATATTTTTTGTCATAGTGGAAGCATCACGCTGCTATAATATATCCATCCATATCAGGAGAATTTTACTCCAAGAGAAAGTATCATATTGTCCATGTCCTACCTATCAATCATGTTATCTCAGACCACTCATTAACACCGGAGGGTCAAACTCAAATGATAACTTGGTTAATAACACAGACATTTCTGTTCAGGTCGTATGCGTTTGATAAGTTCCATCGCCCTCAGAAAGGCGTGAATCCATTCTCTTAATGTAATTTGTGGAAAACGTACCGTGACCGTGTAATTATTTGGAGCGGGCCGATTTGCATTTCCAGCGCTCTGCTCTAACTAAATGCTACTGTAGGGTCTAAGGCCTTACAGATAAATTAATAATCTGGAGTATTTAAAACCCATGAAACATTTAAATTAAGTAATTTCACTTCCTAAAGGGCATAGTGGAGAGTTTTTTTTATTTTGAAATAAACATCAGCACTAATCACTGAGGCAGGAATCTGAGTGAGAGCAGACAATATTCCTTAGGGGCTCCCCTCTGACTTCCATTAGATGGGATTTAGACCAAGTTGATGCATGCACCTTGTTTACCCTCCCAAAAAAAAAACGTGGAATTATTTGTGTATTCGCGACACATTATCAGGATGCAAATTTTACAGGCTACTTTTTCACTGATCGAATTACAACGCGAGTGTGCCTTATTCAATTTGAGCGAGGGATCACAGCAGCCTGTAGCAGCGCAGCCAAACACAGCTATTTGGGGCATTGCTGCGCAGCAGCCTTTGATCAACTTTTAAGGGAAATCGATTGGAATTGTTGCTCTGCCCCAATTTAGAAGACATCTCATCAAACTGAACTGCAAAGGGTCTAAAGACTACAAGTGTTCATTTTTGTTCCCCTAGTGCTGCAAGTTTAGTAATTGACTCTGATTTTTGGCTTCAGGCAATAACCTAATAAGGCCATCCAAGGTTAATGATAGACCCTTTTTAGACTGGCTGAACGTCTGACACCGATATGTAGTGGTAGTGAAAAACAATTATTACTTACATGACAGACACTCGGGGCGGACGCCCCTGACATCCCAGTGAGACGCTGTTACTCTGTGTTCATCGGCTGTGTGCTGTTATGGTTTGGCCTGTGCCGCGCGATGTAACCGACCGGACGTTAGATCAAAACACCGCGGATGAAAATCCCTGCAGTGGCTTGTGTTTGCTGCTTTACAGCCGCCTCTTCCCAGGAACACCAGCGCCGCAGATCTCCGTGATTTAACATCTTTCACGTCCAAGGAGCTGGAGTCAGCACAAGTGTTGTGTGCCGTTGCCAGTCTGCTGTCATGGCATCCTCTGCCAAACAATTTATCCCCCTTCCCCTCCTGCTTTATTAGCCATAGATTATAGGTGGCAGCGGATGGTGTGGAGCCTCTGCTGTCGAGGTAGCCTTGTAATTGACTCCAAGGAGGCAGGGTGGATAATCATTTGAGCGTAAACCACAGTATCGGTAGATGGCTGTTGAATACAATGTCCTGTTACAGGGTTTTTTTATTGCAATGCTAGCAGGGGGGACAATGTGGGTCTGTCGGTCTGTTCACAACTTTGTTCCAGACTGAAATATCTCAACTATCATCTTTTTGCACCTATCCATGCTCCCCAGAGGATGAACCCTATTGACTTTGGCGATCCCCTGACTTTTCATCTAGCAGTACCATGAGGTTGTGCTTTTGAGTGAAATGTCTCAACAACATTTGGACAGATTGTCATGAATATAGCAACACACACACACGAGTTGTAATAACTTTGGTGAGTAGGGCCATCATCAGCTCAAAATGTCAAGGTGTCCAATACTTTGGTTTATCACCAAATGCCTGCTAAGCTAACGACATTCCCATCAGCCTCAGCTGTACTTTGTATTTATTGCTGATAACTGTTAGCATACTAACATAAGACATTGAACATGGTCAAACCTTTGGACTGTAAATGTATTGTTCTTTGGTTCGGTTTCCTTCGATGTCCATTTACAGCCCATACAGTGCAATGAGTTTTTCATTGAGCAGTTGTTTGTTTTAATCGGATGCAAACTTTCTGCTGTTTTTCAGAACTCCGTATCCTCGGCAGCCTCCACCCCCAGCGCTCCAGTGACCGGTTACAAGCGCATGGTCATCCCAACCCAGCCACCTCTGACTGCCACGAAGAAGTCTACGCCCAAACCTCAGGCACCCGGGGGGGTCTCGTCCATCCCCCCTTCTCCTGCCAGCCCTGTGGCCAAGGCTCAAAGCCACACCGCTCCTCAGCCTGTACCAGCCTCCTATGCTACAGCCTCAACCCCAAGCCAGCCAACCTTCAACGTCCAGGTGAGATCGGCCCAGCCCGGCCCCCAGCATCAAGCCCCAATTGGCCACCACTTTGGCCAGCAGCCCATTCGCAGCCCTGCACAGGTGCAGTACATGCCTGCCCAGCCCAAAGGTCCCGACTTTGCCTATGGACCACCACAGCCCGGCTTTTCCCAGATGGCTCCGGTCGGATACCAAGAACACCATCCAGGAGTACCCCAAGTAGGCGGCTTAATTCCCAGGAGACCTGAGCCGGCCCCTGTCCAGGCATACCAACCTCCAGGCCCCAGAAAGACCTACATCACAGATGTACCACCAAGCCTGGTTCCTTACACTGCTGGACCAGCTATTCCGCCAAAGGTAAGAATGGTTTTCATCACACATACAATTTACTCCATCAGTTGCCATCATTTTTTTAACATAGCTAGAAAAAACAAACATATTTGTGATGATAAAAAAATATTACTACAGTAGTGGATGAGGCCACAATTAGTCCACCCTTTTAGCCATCCATCCTTCCATCTAACATTTTCATATATCTTTTTTCCACCTTTCATACTCTGGAATGGTGGCACTGGGCCAAGCAGACAAGCCAGGACATCCGTTTCCCCAGTCACGTCTCCCAGCTCCTACTGGAGAATCCCGAGGCGTTTACAGGGCAGCTGGGATATTTAATCCCTCCAGCGTGTTCTAGGTTTGCCCCGGGGCTTCTTCCCAATTAGATATCCCTAGAATACGTCCACAGGGAGGGATTTGCGAAGCTTCCTGATTGGTTGCTCGAACCACCTTAACCTGCTCTTGTCAAAACGAAAGCGTAGCAGTCTGTTCTCAATCCTCTTTGGGATATTTGAGCTCCTCTATCTCAAAAAGAGTGAGCCCAGCACCCAGACACCATGGGAGGAAAACTAACTTGGGCCACCACTCGTATCCCAAACTCCGTTCTTTTAGTCGCTACTCAGTATCTACGAGAATAGTTGAGGGTTTGACGATGTAGGATCATAAGGTAAATACAAAGCTTTGGTTTTCACCATCACAATATCTGCATGACTGAAATCACTTCATCAATCCACCTGTTGACGAAGTGTTGACCCTCATCTCTTGAGCCGGGGGGGTCACAGTATGTTTAAGAAAGTAATTTACCATCAGTTCTTTTTCTTCATGGCATCTTTTCATTCATGTTGTATGCTATTTGATAAAGTAGAAGTGTATGTGTGTGTGTGGTTTGAGTGTGTTTACATGCACAGTATGCATACATATCTGCAGCATCAGATGGCAATTCAACAGGGAGCTGCTTGCCATCTTCCATTGAATTGCGCAGAATAAACAGTTGTTTTAACCTTTATGAATTTTTGAAAGATCTTCTCCGTTGGGGGTTTACACCATCTGATTTCATTTGTCTCATAAACAGCAGCTCGTATTCATGTGTGCTGTGTATATCTACCCGCTGTGCATTGTAAATCTAAGGTCAATACTTTTAAGTTCATTTCTTTTTTCATTTAATTGTGTAAAGATGGAATATGTATATATACTGTGTGTGTGTGTATGTATATATATATATGTGTATATATATGTATGTGTATATATATATATATATATATATATACGTATATATATATGTATATATATATATGTATGTATATATATGTATATATATACATATACATATACATATATATACATACATATATATA